CAAGTTCATCGTCATCTCTGACCTCCGCACTCAGGTACTTACTATTTAATTGCGAGTAGCGCGAGCGATTTACATATGTCGGCTGTGAAAGTGATGATTTACGTTTACCCGATTGAAAAAATAGTGAAACTTGACTTGTCTGATCAAACAGGTGTCTTTCCCTCATAACCGTGATATGTATATCTAAAGTGTGTAACTGTTTTCTACCGTTAGATCGCCGGATACCTTTACGGCACCAGTCCAACCGACAATCCTCAAGTGAAAGAGATTCGCGCTGTTGTGATGCCACCGCAGTGGGGCACTCATCAGGTTGTGCATCTGCCAAATATTTTTCCGGACCACGAGTTTTTGAAAGAACTTGAGCCGCTGGGCTGGATGCATACCCAGCCAAACGAACTGCCTCAGTTGTCCCCTCAGGACGTGACTTTGCATTCAAAGATCATGGTCGACAACCAGAGCTGGGATGGAGAGAAAACGATTATAATCACGTGCAGGTATTTTACTTTCTTTGCGTACAGTGACGTGTATGCGTAATTTCGTCCATCGTTTAGCTTCACTCCCGGCTCCGTGTCCCTCACAGCCTATAAACTGACTCCAAGCGGCTTTGAATGGGGTCGACAAAACACCGACAAAGGAAACAACCCTAAGGGTTACCTGCCTTCACATTACGAGAAAGTGCAAATGCTCTTGTCCGATCGGTTCCTTGGCTATTTCATGGTTCCAGTGCAGTCGTCATGGAATTTTAACTTCATGGGTATTCTTGCTAATGATATTTTTGGCTTTCTATTTTATTTTATTAGGCGTGCGTCATGATCCAAATATGAGGTATGACGTCATGCTTGGGAATCCCAAAGAATTTTATCACGAAGATCATCGGCCCTCGCACTTCTTGAACTTTACGGCAATCGATGATCCAGAAGGCATTCATTGCGCAGATCGCGATAATACGTTTATGTAGATATACGTATTTGTAAATAATGTACACATGCATAAAATAAACTTACTTTTCTTTCGTTTTGTTAGTGGCAAATTTTTCGATTAAATTGTCTTTTTTCGCATTTTTTTACATTCAGTCGTGTGACTTCGCAACCTTGTATCGATTTGACTCTTCTTCGAAATGGTGCTTAATTGCACTAAGCGTTGTCCACTGTTAACGACTTTGAGATTCAAGCTAGCTGCATATTTTTCTTCGAATTCAGTGGTGTGGTTGCGCAACTCTTAGTACTGCTTTAAAATGTAAAATTTTTATAAATTTTCATTTGCTTCCAGTGCGTAGATCTGAAAACTTATTTTGGAATGTATTCTTTTAAACAAGTT